TTCATGCTTTATGAGAGTTGTTTAAGATTAAGGTGCTGAACCATTATCACTTCGGCTTTAAGTTCATAAAAGCAATTAAAGTCACTAATTCAACTCAACTGCAATTCATTTGAAGTTTAAAAATTCGGTAGTATCGACACCAATTCAAGCCTTGCAAAGGAATTTCGATGGTCTTACGGTTTCCAACACCGTTTCTTTTTATAGTTACGACGATTCGCTTACAGCTTTCCTTTCGTCAGAGGACTGACGCATGAAAAAATACGTGCTCTGAGTCTTCTAAGCACTCTGAACGTCGGACGGACTAAGATCGTGTTGAAATCGGAACAGGTAGCTTCTAAAGCATCCATGTCCACTTAGTATATGGGTTAAGTGGAAGTCTAGGTCCCCATGTAATCTATCCATTCACGAATGGATGTCCGGGATTAGGGTGCACGGGTCTTTGGTTGAGGTTTGCCACAATGTCATGCTTTTGGTTCACTTCTCTTTTTTATGCCTAGCTAGTCCAATCGCGCGAATGCGTCTCCCTGGATGTCAATGGGCGGCATACTGGCTAGATCTACAGCAGCGTCGCTATATATCGTTCGAAAAGCACTTGTTACTTGGCTAACAGTGAGCCCTTGCACAGGGTTTATTTGTTTTGCATATGCTTTTACATCTTGTGCCTGTATCCATTTTGGTGCTGCATACAATATTACTGAACTCATTGCTTTTGCTTTTAAAGCTCGCCCTGGAACGTCAGCAGCCCTATACATTTTGTTTGCTTTACCCAAGGTATACGTCAGGTGTTTCTTAAAATTTAATTTAGAATCCAATATTAGTCCTAGATAGTTCAGCAGCGACTGTGAAATAATGTCTCATTCCGCTATGGTGAGTGATACCCTTTCTTCCACATTCCTGGTGTATATGAACACTTCAATTCTCTGCAAACACTTGGCGTAGACTATTTATGCGATCATTGCATTTAAGCCGGAGGTAATCCAGACAGTAAGCCACTATTACGTTATCCCAATTGCGATTGTTTTCATGTTTTTTGGTTGATTATTTTCTTAACACCCAGAACTTGATATAAAGTTCCTTCGTACAGAACCTAAGACCGAGCCTTGCGGTAGTCCAATCGAGATAGTTTAACTCTGAGTGTCCTCGTCCGTTTCAAATATCAATTTTCTATTTACAAAATTGTTTATTATACTAATTACGAGATACTGCGGTCCGCGAAAATTATCTCAAGACTGGATTATATTTGCTCACTTAGCGGAGTTGAACGCATTCTCACACCCTGCGTAATTAGTGCGCAGTATTTTCTGTGCCATCTTTCCATCTCTTACCACTTACTACACATTTCGCAGTGTCTACGACTTTTCTATAAAGCCGTATTGTCTCTCTGATAACACGCCTGATTTTTGGATCACTCCAATCAACTCCAAGCTGTTTCTTACTAAGCTTTCGTTAACTTTAACCATCGTGTCGAGCATGCACAGAAGTCGATAAGATTAAAGGTTCTTCAAGTGGCCTTTTTGGTTTAGGAAGTAGAACCAAACGCTGTACCTTCCATGGGTCGGAGAATACTTCTTACAGTATGCACGCCTTGTACATTTTGATGAAGCCACTGGGTCTTAATGTCATTACATCTTTTAGAGATTTATTTAGTACGCCATCTTTTCCAGGTAACTTGGCGTTTTTGATTTTTTTTTTTTTTCGGAATTATCAACATTTCATGGTGCCTTTGCTGTGTTCCAAGACGCATATAAAACGTCCCTATCGAACTCCTTTTGTCTACATTCATTCATTTTTAATAGATGATCCCGTGATTTACTTCTTTCCAACACTGTGTCAGTGGTTGACAGATAGAATTTTGACAGTTTTTTAAATTCGAAGTCGTTTTAAAGATACGGCAGTTAAAAGAAGAAGCTGTGCGGTGCGCTGAGTAGCGGACTTGAAGCTTCAAAGGCATTTTTCTCAAAAAGGTGTTATTCAAACTTTCCTCCAAAAACGGCTGAACCGAATGTACAATCGTAAATCAAAAATTCAAAAAATTTCGACACAAAATTCCAAATTTTTGTTTTTAAATGTCTACCGAAAGTACTTTTGGTATATCCGTTTGATAATATTTCATTTAAGTTTACAGACAGACCGGTAATTTTTTCTGTTCCAAACAGGCCAAATAAAATTAATCTATATCTTTACTGATCGTAGAGAAAATGCCCAAAAATTCCTGAAAACATACCGTTAGATAAACAAACTGTAAAATTATCAAAAAGAAGTTATAGGAAATTGAAAAGCCCCAATAAGGAACTCGGAAAAAAATTTATGAGGCTATGCGAAAAATAACAACCATACATAAGTCCCTTCTACACAACCAATCTTTATTGAGAAAGTGTCGCGTTCTTAGAACAATAAATATATTTTATCAATCAACTAAGTTTAAATTTTGATGAGGCAGCATGATATTCAGAAAGAAGAAGGTTTAAGATTAAAAATTTGTCGGCAATTTGGCGGTACAACAATAAAATATCGATTGCGCAAATATATAAATAAATTTATATTGAAAATATTGAATAAAGAGCATCACAACAAACAGTTAAATCGTGCAAACGGCATGTATACCACCATCGATGGGTAGAGTTGCACCCGTTATAAAGCTAGAGCTGTCACTAGCAAGGAAAATAATAACATCGGCCACTTCCTTTGGTACGCCGCTACGACCAAGTGGATGTGTTTCCTTACAGCGTGAGTAAAAGTTATCAAGTTCTTGCGGCGATAAACCAAGACGTCTATGAATATCTGTCACAATAACACCAGGATTAACAGAATTTACGCGTACATTTTTCGGGGCCAAATCCAAAGCGATACATCTAGTGAATTGATCCAGTGCTGCCTTCGAGGCACAATAGGTGGAAACATCACGTATAGAACGCATACCCGCAACGCTGGAGACATTCACGATATTACCTTGCGTCTTGATCAAATGTGGTGCGGCCAATTTAGTTAGAAGAAAGACGGCACGCAAATTTGTATTGAAAACACGATCAAATTGATCAACATCAATATCCAAAATATTGCCAATTTCAAAAATACCAGCATTGTTAATCAAAACATCCACTTGTCCGAAGCGTTCAATTGTAGCGCTGATAATGCGTTCCGCATCCACTGTGACATCAGCAGTAATTGATAAGAGTTCCGCTTTACTGTTCGCTGCCTTACAAGCCGATTCAGCTGCCTTCAAATTTTGTTCATTTCTCCCGACGAGCACCACTTTGGCACCTTCTTTGGCAAAAACCTCTGCCGTCGCAGCACCAATGCCCGAACTCGCTCCTGTTACAATAACGACTTTGCCAACCAAACTCATTGCGATGTATTCGACTTCACGATGAAAGTGAAACTAAATTTCAATATCGAACCGGCTTAGTACCAATCACTAAACTTAATAATATTTGTTGTGTTCAGGGTTGCCGTTGTAATTTATATCGATCTGAGTTGTTGCGTTTTTGTGAAGTGTTTTATTTTTTTATAATCGTTTTAAATTTTTTTATCTCCAATAGGTCACTGGTAAAGACATTTTATCCAACCTTGCCAAATTTCGTGAATCAATCTTGTCATCTATTGTCTCCATGTAAAGAGTATATTTTTCTCAATCAGTTTTGCGTTCTGTAAATAATGTGCTTCGCTCAACTTGTGGTCGACTTAATCGGCCTATTGAGCGTACTATTCGCAACACCATCACCCTTCTTGAAATCCACCTTTCTTTATTGGATAATATTCGATCGAAGAAACCACGTCCAGTATGCAGTGAAGAAATATAGCAGCCTTCGCTGAATTGTATACGAAGACCGTGCAGACCCGATTCGGCGCCGTTCGCAGACACTCAGACTGATATATGGAACGACCTGGTGTTTTATATAAAGATCTTAACTTGAAAGCCTACAAAGTACACCTTGTGTAAGAACTGAAGCCTCTCGACCTTTTCAAGGCTAAGCGCTTAGTTTATGGGCTCTTGGAAAGTTCCAAGAAGATCCAACGTTTTCCAGCCAAATCAGTCCATATTTCTTCAAAAATGATGCCGTTAAAAACGTTACCGTCAATGACGACTGTAAACGCGAATAACCGACATTTAGTTTCAACAAGATGGTGCCACTTCCCACATATCACATCAATCAATGGATGTATTGAGAGAACACTTCGGTGAGCAAATGATTTCACGTTTTGGGCCGATCGATTGGCCACCAAGATCTTGGGTTAATACACCGTTAGCCTTTTTCCTTTGGGGATATGTTAAGTCTAAAGTCTTTTCACAACATTCCCCATTAAATTTGAAATTTCTGTACTGTTTCTTTAAAAAAGTAGGAAACCCCGTAATGTATCACAATTTATATGAAAACAATACTTATTTGGCTAAGTTAAGGCATCGTCGCCATGGCATAATCATATTCATGTTTGGCGTCAAGCAGCATTAATCCATAATTAAAGAACAAACTAGCAAAACCAGAACACTATTCTATTCTATGTTATGGCGGTAGACTTTACTTTAAACAGTTTCAACTTGCCAGTGCTTATTTGTGCTTTTATGGTCATTGTTGGCGTCACAAACACTTTCGATTTATTTTTGTATAACGTATAATGCTTCATTAGGAGCAGTCTCTTAACATAAAAAAACAATCACTAATTCACACTTTATTGTTAGTTTTGGTGATTAATTCGAAGAAAATGGCAAATTCACAACATGGCTGAATAGCTGGTGGCGCTTAGTTCATTTGCATACAAATCCAATTTATAATCGCAATATTGACAGTCGCGTATTGTCTCCAAGCAAATACGCAATCATATTCCGTGTAGCATATCGATGTGGTTGCAATTTCGCACAATATGCACTGAAGAAAAATCAATGCAAATAAAAATCCATAAATTAACAATAAATTGCAGCATTTGAATGCACACGTGTGACATATTAGTTTCTGGCATTCGCAACAAGATCGGCAATTTGTATAAAAGTTCGTGCGCAGCGCAGAGGAAATCATTCCAAACTTCAACACTTCTGGGTCTTATCAGTCACACGCTTGAGCTTAGCGTCAAAAAAGTGCGCGTTTTTCAATATCCAATCTCAAGTATTCATAAAAAAAAAATGCGTGCCTTCATCGTACTCTGTTTATTCGCCGCTACCTGCGCCGATAACCTGGGCTACAACTATCGCCCGGAAGGACACACAGATGCCGGACTCTCGTTTGCACCCGGTGGCAGCAGTGGCGGACTTGGTGGACTGGGTAGTTATGGTGGACCAGGAGGTGCCGCGACACAAGTTTCACCTTCTTATTCCGCACCTGCCGCTGAATTCGACAAGGAGTTCTACAGCTACACCGCTGATGAGGATGATTTCAATGAACCCGCCGGCAGYGAACAACTGGATGCTTTATTGAAAAAGAATCTGCGTGTTGTCTTCGTTAAGGGACCCGAAAATAATGGTTTGGAGAACGCCGCCCTCAATCTTGCCAAACTTGCTGCCGAACAGAAGACCGCCATCTATGTTCTACAAAAACAAGCCGACTTGGGTGATTTGGCCAACAAATTGCAGTCTCAACATGATCTCACAGGTCATAAGCCAGAGGTGCACTTCGTCAAGTACCGTACACCAGAGGATGCTGTCAATGCCCAACACGCTATTCAATCGCAATACGATCAATTGGGTGGCAATTCGCAGTCACATTATGGTGGCGTGGCTCCTGTTCACAACTTTGCTTCTGAGGCTACTCGTCAAGCGCCACGTATTGCAAGCGCACCGGGTGCCACTTACTTGCCTTCCTCGATTATTCGTGTTTAATGTGGAAAGTGCGAATAATAATACAGTTTATGTAGAAGACTCCGAAATGTGATAAAACGACCGTCATTGTTATGCTTTGTTGACTAATATATAAATAATAATAAAGTTGAATTTCTAAAATATAAGTGAGTTCGTTTATATTTGCCTTGGTCAGGTCTAATCCGATAAGAATTTTGTGACAATTATAAGCGTATCTCTATTAAACATACCTTCCGGACCCAACTTTTACTTTTGCCTATGCCTTTGTATTGATCGATAAATGTACGATCCTGCAAACCGCACGTGAGTGGTCTATTTCATAAGAAGCTTTCTCAACCCACCAGCCTTCTAAAAGTCTTACTTTTGCCTTTCTAGTTATTACCACCATTTCAAAGTAACTTAGTTCAGCAACCGAGGCCACTTCTTACTTGAATAATTTTTAAAAACCACACTTTAGTACCCCTACATCATTCATCAAGAAGTCACCAACCACATTAAATTATAATTTATTGTCTTACTAAACATTTAACTTCATTTATTATTAACATCACAATTTTCTTTAACAGGTGACTTTAATTATCGCCACTACTATGGCAGACAGCGCTTTTATTTCTCATTCGTATTATCGAAATTACCACCATTTGTTATTCTGACCTTTCCATTTCAATCACTTTCTTCCTGAATTTTGTGCGCTGCGAAGACTGCCGTCCATTCGTACACAGACACTGCTTCGTGATCCTGTCACTTTTCATATGATTATGTCTTTTTCATTCAGCCAAAAAACGAAAATAAATAAATAAAAGAAACGAAATCGAAATCGAAATCGAGAAACAAAGCCACCTGATTGTTGGTACATCATAAATAAAATGTCCGCGTAAGTATGTATTGGTATTAAGGTGGTACATAGACTTGACAAAAAAAAATTATAATAATAATAAAGTAAAGGGCGATCCATTTCGAGGTTCATTAGTTTTAAAGAAAAATACACAGAAACTTCGAATTTAATATGGAATGTTTGTTATCATTCGAAACAACATTCTTTGGCATTTATCTTTTGAAGATAAGGTCTTTCAAATGTTGGCCGCGGCTACGTCCCAGATGGTCCATTCGTTCAACCAAATTTTCGATGACTCGTTCGAACATTTCCAATGGTAATTGACGAATGACACGCGTGATGTTTTGCTCCAAGGTCCGAATCAAAACGGGATTGTCGTCATAAACTTTAGACTTTGCGCATCCTTAGGTCTAACGGTGTGATATCAGACGATCTTGGTAGCCAAGCGACCGGCTCAAACCGTGAAACTTCCTGCCCACCGAAAATTTCTCTTAAAAAATGCAATTATTGCTGCGATATGTGGAAAGTGGCGCCGTCTTGTTGAAAACAATAGTCGCCGAAAACACGAACTTCACTTTGAGGCATGAAATAATCCGTTATCATGGCGTGATAACGGTCGCCACTGACGGTTACTTTCTCATCGGCATCATTTTTGAAAAAATATTTACTAATAATGCCACCGGCGAATAAACTATGCCAAAGCATTTCTAAATGAAATGACAGCTCTTGAATCTCTTCAGTCTTCTCTCTATCTTAAATGCGACAACTTTGCTTGTTTGCATACACATTGAGCCAAAAATGAGAGTCATCGATGAACAAAATTTGGCCCGAAAACATTTAATCTTCTTGGAATTTCTCAAGAGGGAAGCGATGTCACTTGGGAAGGTCGAGCGGCTTCAGTTCTTGCGCAAACTGCATTTTCTTCGCTTTAAGATCTTAACGTAAAGGGCGCCAAGTGTTTCCATACGTCAGTCCGAGTTGCTGCGAATGGCGTCGAATCGACTCTCCACGGTAACCGTATACACTCTCAACTACGGCTTCACTGCATGCTGAACGCATTCGGTCGAATATTATCGAATAATGAATGTTGGGTCTCAAGATGGGTGATGGCATTGCGAATAGTACGCTCAGTAGGCCGATTATGTTGATCATAAGTTGAGAAAAGTGGGCGAAACACTTTCTTAACAGAACGTGAATTTTCGTAATACAGTCGAACGATTCGTAAAAGTTGTTCAGGCGTAAGAAGGTTGAACAATACTGAACAAAACTAACATGACAGATTGACATGACTCTCGCGAGATCTGTCAAACAAAGGCTATTGAAAAATGTACCTCTACTTGAAACACCGAAGTGAATATGCAATTGTCTCCGTTGTACGGGAGCAACCTAATGCAGAGACACATATACAAATATGAATTGAATACACAAGTACACATTAAACATCTCATAAACTCCCAAACACAAGCACGGAGGAACCATCAAACTCATTTTCGACAAATTTCTTACAAAATTGTAACCACGGAATCGTTAGAAATCTGCCATTGCTTCTAACTGCTGTCCCCATTTAGACATAACTCCACACTCTCTTTTGCATTTTTCCAAATACTTTTAGTCCACACGAAGACGGCGAGGGTACGTCGGGTTGGTTGTGGCGTTAGACATGCACGTACGCATTGCCGCGTATTATTCACAGGTGTGCTCACTGTCGCTCCATTTTTTTTCTCACAATCAATAATGTTACACGCGAGTGTAAATCTTTGGCACCACTTATACTTGTAACGGGAATCACCTACAAGCCAACACATCTACCTAGGAAGCTTCAAGGAAGCTGTTGCTGCAGCTCCTTCCTCCACTTGATTTCCTTATCGCTTTCAGTTTTGTTAGACATAACATACAACTGTAAATATGTATGAACGTACTATATGTTTGCATATACGTTATATTTGTGTGTGTATATGTATATGCAAATGTGTATGTGTATTGTCGTGCACTCTCGAGTAGTTGCAAATATTTTCTCGGCATTGAGCTCTCGAGCAGACTAATTTTTATTTTTCAGTCACGTAGCAAACGTGTTTGACAAAATATCATCTATTTAACATTGCAATGTGTCAAGACAGATGGCTCTGCCGTCGCCATTGCCATTTAAAACGTGCACTTACCTTCACTGAAAGGAAACACAAAGCGTTGGGGTGTCGTGTCGTGAATGAATGAATGTTACTAAACGCCAGCATTAACCAAGGGAAGTACCGTAATTACACAAAGCAAATGTTAAGTAGGAAATATGTTGCTTAACTACGCTCAGATAAATATGTTGTAGAACTTTTAACATTACATTCATGCAAATATTTATGTTTATAAAGTAACTGATTTCATGCTGCTGGAATTTTTAAAGCTCTGAGGTGTAGATGAAGCATACATGTTTTTAAGACATATCATTTATGTGCTATATATGTATCAATAATAAGTAATACGAAAACGCTTGCAATCATAACTTTGGATGATATGGTTAATGTTCAAAATCAAGGTTGATTGAATACACACCAAGGTACGGGTCTGAAAATAGTTAGTTTAACGAAAAATAAATAATACGACTTTTTGATTCAAACGCGACGTCTACAATGACTTTTTGCAGCAAGAGTTCCATAAAAGAACAGCAATCGCAACACCCCTTCTCTTCTATGCAAGAACCATATTTTAATCCGCAGTATTGAGGTGAATTTTATTCTATATTAACTAGAATTTTATTCGAGTAGGGGAAGAACTGTTAAGATGTCCTTTGTAAATTAAACAACTGCTTCATCTCGAAGAGTAAACATATCAGAATGATTTTTTTTTTTTTTTTCAAATCACCGACCTAGCTAGCCGAATAAGTTATTACTATATAACACACACATGACGAGATTCCAAAAAATATATTTATTCTTTCGTGTTAGTAATTTTATTAAAGGTATTGTATCCTTGCCTCTAAAGAAGATGGATATTATATTCATTAAACTGAAGTAAAGTGCTGTCACATTACCATACAGGGACCATTATAGAATCTTTATCTCCCAGCAATAGCACTTCGTGAATGTCCCCAAAAGGCATTATCCAGATCAAAATTTTCGGCGTCCATTGTTTCCATAAAAAGTAACTGTCTTATCATCTCAATTGAAAAGACTCCGACCTGCATTGGCCAACCATATTTTTAATAAAATTCATTTTTTTTATTGAACATAATTCCCTTGAAGGATAATACACTGATTACTGAGGGATCCTACAATTTTTCTATACTATTTTGTAGTGTGATTTGTTCTTTGCTTCAAAAGAGGGCGCAACTTCCAAGATCAGCTCTTCATTCGAAAAAAAAAATTCTTCTTATTGATCACTCTTTTGTGATCTGAAAACAAGAAATAGTCACTGGGAGTCAGAACTGGATATTGCAGTAATTGAGGAAGCAATTCGAAGCATAATTCATGAATTTTTGTCACCGTTTTCACTGACTTTTGACACGGTGCATTCTTTTGGTGAAACAGTAGTTTCTGTTTCTCAAAATGCGGCCGTTTTCGCCGGTTTCGTCCTTCAAACAGTCCCATACCCTTTTTAATAGTCGACTATTTTTCGTTTGGAGCGGATTCATCGTGTGCAGATCACTCGATTGGACTGCGGAGTAAAACGTGATAAAAGCGGGTTAAAAGTGACCATGCGAGTCATTCCACTTTGCACATAGCTTTCTCATGTCCGAATATTCGTGAATGTTATGATGTACACGTTAATGTCTTTAAAGTGCCTGCTATTTCAAAGCACTTCATTTTACGGACACTCAAAATTATTTTGTGGACTTTTTGATGTTTTTGTTGGTAATAACTTCTTTTCACGATATAAAAAAAAAAATTGCTTCACTCTAAATTGTATTATTCACAAACAAATGAGCTGACAAACTGATGCACGCGGCGTTTGAAAAGCTAGCTAACAATCATAAATCGTATGGATGGAGTTCTAGTAGCGTCATATAAGTATGAGGCAGAGGACTTTTCAACTGATCCTTTATGCCTTGTTCTTTCATGATAAAGGCATTATTGTTTTATACTTTTTAAAACTGAAGATGAACTAACCCTTTTGTGAATGGAGACCTGAAGGCAAACTTACGAGCTTTCTACAGGTGCTTCAGGACTAATTAGCAACTTTAATGGAACGAGTTATCTGGATATAAAGCCGTGCTCTAAAGGTGGTCCAAAATTCGACCGACAGATAGTCTTCTAAAGTTGGGAGTCTCAGTGGATAAATGGCCGAAATTTCGTTTTTTGCGCACTAATAAGACCAAAATTAGCC